CACGTGCCTGTGTAATGTACTGTATATAGTAATTCACAAATGAGCACTACTGTATACTGTACACCTGTTGTGCCACAACCTGTACTGAATATTCTCCCAGGCTTGACATCTTTGAGTTAAGTGCTGTATACACTTAGTTGTATGAAATGGTTGCAGTTATACTTCTGTGATGCTTTATAGTGTGAAGACAATAAATACAACTGCTATGTTTTAATGTACAGTATAACATTATAATATAATGCTCCATTTTCAATGTGAACCCCCCTCACAATCCAGTGGAAGTGAAAATGGGGCAATAATTAATATAATTACAAAATTAATTTGGCTCTGAGACTGTCGAATTTTCTTTTACAAGATCTCGATAGGTTTTTTCTTGATGTGGTGAGGGGACCCATGTCATTGAGGTCCCCTGTAAGGAGACAGCCACAACCCTAGCTGCCTCATCTCGCGTTGATGAGGTCCTAATTCTTATCTCAAAGAATCTTTTGAATGCAGCATCAGCATTAATCCTCCTTCCACCCCCCTTTGGCACGGCTGTGGGTTGGTCATACTCGCTTAAGCCACGGTCACTTAATGGAGCGCCGCCCTGCTCCTTATTGTCCGAATTGCGTTGTCCCTCTTAGTTGTACATATCCTTGTTGAATGTCCTGACGTCCAGGACGAGCGTGTGTCTTGCTTTCCGACCGTCCCTCGCGGTCACTTGTCCCTCGATAGAATTCTAGGTGAATCGGATACTTTTGATATTGTTCGCCTTGTGCGTTTTTGTTCTCGTATTGGTATTCTTGGTGATATTTAGCGCCCTCTGATTATTTTGCGCATTTGATGGTGCTACATAGCCTTCCCGGTTTGGTGCCTTCTTTTGATAATTACTTACTTACCTCCTTCCACCCCATGTTAAGACAGGGTGGAAGGTCAACTTGAGGCCTGCCGTGAGGATATGACTACATCCACAAGGCCTAGGTTTACCCTATCCTCCAGGCTGACACATTCACTTGGCTTCATTGCAGTTGTTGCCATCCCATTAAGGTGGTAAAGATAAATTTTTAATATTTCGACCCTCCTGTCGTCAGTAATTCTTGCTGCAGCCAGATGCTCTCTTCAGGATTGTCACGTCTGCACAACTCGTCCTCAGGCTAGGCTCGTTAGATCAGTGGCCGTCCTCGGATGCATTTTCATTTTTAACATGGCGTAATAATAGGTTTCACACATATAAATTATTATATCAAAATCGATGTATAATTAGGTTTAGGTTCTGTTGGCAATTATGTTTCTAGTATGTTGGTGAAACATTAGACTTGCAATTCGAGTAGAAAATTTCGGCAAAGCACTGCTCAAGAAAAGTATTGTACAGCATTACAGTACTAGCAAACGTCCTGTGTTGCTGACAGGCTGCTCTACAATAGGTGCTGAAAGTTTGGGCATGAAGCCTTGAAATGTCTCCATACTCATTACATCAACTGCGGTGATGCCGATCCTATTTTTTTTCACATTCTTGTCTACATTATAAATTTTAGCAGGCCATCTTTTATCTTAAACTTTGGAATCGCACATCTTTCCCCGAAACAAGATGTCAGGTCTGCCACCTTTTCTTTTTCTTTTTTTCTCCTGATATGACTTATACTTGTGCATAATGTCATCACTCTCCTACTCCACCCTTCCCCTCCTCAGTCACAACTGTTTTCAAACTTTGAATCCTGACATATCTTCCCTGCAATCTGAATCTGCAAATATTCCTTTGGTGTTACTAGCTTGCATTTCCACCCTGCCTTCCCATGCTTATCATTTTCGTGTTGCACCACACTTACCAACTGTGGGGCCCCTTCGACTCTTGGGCCCTTCTTTCTTCTTGGTCCTCCCCTCTGTCTTTTGGCCTTTCCTAGAATATGGCTGGCTGGACCAGTATTCACCCTCCACTCGACCATCCTCGTTTGACCTATCCTTGTTTTCCCTCCCTGCCTCATACAATAGCCCGAGACAATAGTGGTTATCTCACAGTACCTTGATGCTTCTACACCTGTCAGAAACATAAGCCTGGTCATTGTTTCCTCCTGTCAAGACACAGGGAATGACATTTTACCTGACAGGTAAAGAGGCATTAGTCCATTCCCCACCTCAACCCTCCATTCTAGTTCCTGCAGATGTCTAGGTAGCAAAGCCATCTGACCTCGCAGTAGTTCCCATTGCTCATGTTTCTTCCTCTGATGCTACCCCTGATCTGGGGCATGTCTTTCATTTCTACCTAATAAACCTGCAGATATGGGTACACACTGGCCCGAAAGTAGGCACTGTGGGATGGATACTTGCTCTGCCTTGATGCCTCCTTGGCAGCTCTTTCCTCACCAGTCCCTGTTGACTGACCTATGCTCCGTATCAAACTATTTAGCATAGATGGAATGCAAACATTGAGGATGGAATGCAAACATTGAATGCAAACATTGAGACAAGTGGAAACGGAGTATCCAAATGAGCCAAGAGATTCATTAGAAAATTTTGGTGTCGGGGTAGTTAACAAATGGAATGCATTGGGCAGTACAGTAATGTGGTGGAGGCAGCACCATATAGTTTCAAATGTAGATACAGTATAATGGAACTAAATAGGCCTCGGAAATCTGTATACCAGTAGATTGACAGCCGAGAGGCAGGACCAAAAGAGCTGAAGCTCGACCCCTGCAAGTACAACCAGGTGAGTACAGTCCTCTTGGCCCAATCATTTCTTCTGGCTTCACCTAACCCTAATTTCTCTGATCCTAATCTTGCCTAGTTTTGCACCATATCTTTAATTTCTTTTGCCTTGTCATATCAGGTCTTTACTGTGTCTGTTCTTCATTTGAAAATTTGGTTTTTATGCTAATTTTGACTTGCAACTTTTGATCAGTGTTCACACAGAAACCGGTGCTTGGCGCTCATCCTGATCAATGCTATGGTTCTTTTTCTCTAGACCCTTATTCTTGTAAGTACCTCGGAGGTGAAGGACCGGCGAGACATCGGGAACGAACTTACCCGATATCTTGCAGATACACTTCCAGACCTGCGGAAGAGGAGTTTCGGAGGAAATGGTGGAAACATAAGACTTCCAACACTCACACTTAGCTATACGGGTGGCCCGCACTCTCCTTCCAAAACAAAAGAATAGAATTAGCTGTCTGCCGGCGGCGATCTCTCTTCCAGGCTGCACTCACTGCACTGCACTAGACAGCTCGAGCACAATCCACCAGGGAACGCGCTTCCACGTTCCCCAAGAGGAAAACAAGGAATAGAGCGGAGGGCAGCATCGAAGATAGTGTCATGAAAAAGGAGGGCGCAAGGGAGAGGCGGAACGTAGGTCGAAGAGCAGAACGGAGGGTAAATAGGTTCCAGTCTTCCTTGGCAAACTGTCACCAAGGGAAGGAGAGGGGATAGTGAAGAGAAAAAGGTAACAAGGAAGGGGAAATGGTCGCCATGGAAGGGTGCGAGTTAGTCCAAATGAGTGGGCTCACCAGAATTCAGAAGAAACAGGGAAGAGGATGAACGGTTCGAGAAGGCGACTCCCGGGTATTTGTCAGAACATCACCCCAGAGGGTATGTCGACAATTGAAATCACCCGGCAGGAGCACAGGCTCTGGCAAGGAGTCCAGTAGGTATTTAAGATCGGAAAGAGAAAACAGGACACTTGGGGGAAGATAAATGGAACAAATGGCACAAAGATACGTGCAGCAGAACACTGGAGGCAAAGGAAAAGTAGTGGGGATGAAGGGAAAGGAAAAGACGGGGGGGGGGGGGGGAGACGAAACACAAGGAAAAGGAAAAGTTATCCGGCAAAATTTAAGAACAGCAGGAGCATAAGGCTACAAAAGGACAGAGGACTGTCCCATGGAGCGTCACACTCCAGCAGCCGCCCCCTCACAGCAACAACAGGCCAGAAAAGGAGAGGGCATTGTCCTTATAAAGGGAATTCCAAACTCTGGGTTAATCTTTTAACAGCTATTTCTTTTAAGGCCTTGCCTTCTTTAAATCTTGTCCCATGCTTACTACAGAACTTCATATTGATGATCTGGTGATGCAATTGAAGCTAAACTGTGACCATATCCAGAACCACCTTCACAAATCGGGAGAGTACTGCAGTCTGCCGGCTGAGACTACAATTCAATGATACATTTGCCTGACTGGAATGGAAGGCAAGAGATAATGGCCTTAGTAAGTCAACACATGATAGATCAAAATATTGGTCCTAGTAGGTGGGCCGATTGTATCAAATGTAGCAGCACGGCTGTTGGCGAGAGCTTAAGAGGGCATGTATATTGTATATGTAAAGTTACAAGTTATAATTTGAAAGGATTAGAGTAGGGGAAAAAAAAATAATATACATCAGAAAATTTTAAATGCAGTGTTAGAGGGAATTAAGTCATGCAAACTACTTATAGACAAAACACATCTCAGTGATGGAGTAGCTCAGGCTATTTCTATTTCTACCCAGCAAATAGTTGTATGGAGGCCACTAAGTGTTGACAAAGCATATATAAATTAAATTGTCAATGGGGAATGTGGCAGGAAAATATTTTAGAATTAGTGTTGACTGCTTTAATTTATTTATTTATTTTTTTGTGATAAACTGGAAATAGGGAACAGCATTCACAAGGCAACCCGACTTGCCATAATAATAATAATAACCAAAATTTGCCAGGAGTGATGGCTAAAGCAGATTGTCTGGCCAGGAAACCCTTGATCCAACAATTAAAGATAGGCTTTACTTAGGACCTAACAGTAGGTATGTGAATTCTCCAGCAGGTACCTGAACATTCCAAAAAGAGACCCTCCGGGCTCTCTCCCCACAATGACAAGGTAACTCAAAGCCAAATAATATACGAAACTAATAGGGATGCCAAAGACAACCCACTTCTGATCTATTAAATCTTACCGGACTGATTAAACTTAAGGTTATCAGTTCTACAAAATGAATAATGGCAGTTTGGTTACAATCCTTACTGCATTGACAGCAAAAAAAGGTAGAGTAAAAATGTACATAGAATTTCAATATTTTATACACAAATGGCCATATGACACATTTTTATACAATTCTTCATTTCCTTCTATATTTTGAACAAATAAAAGTAACAATTTCATGTTTGCCTTATGACAACATTGCTGGAAATACTTCAAAACTATCTTTAGTGACTTCAGTGTTGACATGATTTTTAGTAAAGGAATTACCGCCTAAATAATAATCCTTGTATTGGCGGCAGTAAAATGCTACTGATGACATCCTTGTCCATACCAAAGACAGCCAATCACTTGCCCGCAGAAGCAATGCTCACCAATGGTATTTGTGGTTTCTGTGTTGAACTGAAAAATAATTTATAAATTAACAATGTATGAATATTAACTTGTACATCCTCTTAGCCTACACAAGTTCATTTGCCACCCCCCTCACATGGATGGCAAAATAATTTTTTTTTTTTTTTTTTAAAGACCTTCAAGACCAAAATTTGTTTTAGTGCACCCATATCTCAAGAAGTACATAACTTTTCCAATCAGTAAATTGGAAAAGGCAAATGGACATGCAACTAAATGGCTTCCAGAATAAATAAATAAATATATATATAAAACTACAAGATTAGAAGTGTTAAATTGCTTCTTGCAAAGGTATGTGATCATTATGCCCAAAATAGCAACAGGAAGTGACTTATTTTAAAAAATAACTAGATTCACTAAGGAAGCAAAGCTGACAAAAAAAATTAGGAAGTTCACTTTTGCAGAATGAGGAGCAACTTAGGCTGTGGAGACCAAAACCAGCAGTAGTTTCAAAGTGTATATGACAACTGAAGATATGACACCATGAGCATCATGTAACTACTTTTTCTGTACTTTGCACTGTAGTCATCCTTTATGGAAACAGTGTTTTGCACAATCAGCTTTACTGGTCCCAGGTTCAATTATTGGGGCGAGACATTCCGAGTGTCCTTACAGCCGCTGCCTTTGTTCAAGTAGTAATATACCTGTAAGTTGGTCAAGTGTTGTGGATTGCATCCTGTAAAATGGCCAGTCAGTGGCCAACACATCCTCTTGTTTAAATGGTTATTTTTGTAACTGCACCACAGAACAAAATCTGATGTATAAAGCATAAAATTTTGTACTATTCACTTTATAGACTTGTTTATTACAAAAATTTAAAAATAAATAATCCTAGGCCTAGTATAGCACAAGTTCTATATTTTAGGCCTAGGAAGGTTAGGTTTGTCTTTTCAACAAATAGAAACTTTTTACTAGTTTGTCCAAATTCAATAGAACTGATTTCTACTTTCTAATTGCATTGTACATCAGTATGTACACTATGGTCCTCATCGTTACTGTAAGTACTACCAAAATAGAAGGATGGGCTGTATTAACTAGACTCACCCCCCCTTTAAACCTAACAAGCTTCCCGTCCCTGACAAAAGGAAACCCTTTCTTAGTGTATGTACATCACTGGATTCAGAACAAGAGGTAGCTTGAATGTCAGAATGGGCATAGGAGCACAGTACTGCAATACATATATATTACAAAAGCACCAGTTGTGTACTTTTATGTACTGTACTAGGAAAAAGATAGCATAGCATAACAAGGGAAGATAAATTTAATAAAACCTTCCAAACTCAGCGAGGTTGACATATGTTATCCTGCATGTGTAGATAATTTCAAAATCTACTAAGTGTACAAATTATAATGAAAAATCAGTCACTGGATATGCACAAGAAACCTCAGTGATAATACCAACTATTCTAAATCCTATATCTCATATCCATAAATTGAACCATGTACTGTACATGTATATATATAAACCTGTTCCCTTCATTCATACAATAAACGTACGTACAAACTGGCACACATGCCTAAATACAAGATTACAAATATGGGAAAAAATTATAAAAATCAAACGAAGAAATAAAAAAAATGTCGAGTGGAACAGAAATACAAGAGGGTAATGAGAACGTTGAAAACAGCACAGCCAATTAGAAGCATTGAGATAAGAGGCTTGCAATATGGTTCACACAGTATCTGAATTAGGAAGACTAAGCTACAACGGTTAATGGAACTCAATCTAATGAGGTTGAGCCGAAGTGATACAATTACTGCACTAGGTACAGAATACCAAAGGCAAATTAGTTATGTAAAATACAAAGGGCATTTCACTGACAATCTGCTTGCTATATACATGCAAGGTTGTGTACACTCCTGCCCAAGAATGCATGACCTGTCTAGGTGTAATAAACAAACCATCTCAATACTACTGTAAATATGTAATGTAGAATCTTCAGAAGCAATATTTATCTTCCTTACCAAAATGACAATCTTCCTACCCAATATTAGTTAAAGTTTCACCTTTTACCGAGGTTTGCCAAACATTATAACACTAATATCAGTAGATTACTTCACTTCACTTAACTTAATAAAAGCAAAGATACAATACAACTTATTCTCAACATACTCATCTTTCCATAGTTGATAGCATAGAAGAATATCATGCAGCCCACCATCAATTGGCCAAAGGGAGCAAATCCAGTTTTCTTAGGCAGCATATACTGAAAAAATATTTGAAAATAGTAGACAGACCTTACTTAAATTACAAATATATGCTTTAACAAATAATTTAATAAATTAAATGCATAAAGAAATAAATATTTGAAAAAAAAAAAATCAAACTTATTATGTGGTGGCATATTGCATGACTACTTGCTTCCACCCCCACAATAAATAATGAATTGGTTCAGCTAAAGAACATATAACCATTATTCTTTGTTCAGTTAAGTGTAATGTAACTAAGCTGCTGTGTTTCCCCAAAAGAACTTTCACCTCTTCTAGACTTGACTGAAGTTAATGAAACCACATAAGCAGCACTTGCCATCTATGCCCCAACAGATACGAACCAAGAACATTACAGTGCAACGAACAAAACGGTAGAAATACCCTAAGAACATATGAACAAAGGTAACTGCAGAAGGCCTATTGGCCCATACGAGGTGGTGGCGCCTGTTTATAACCACCACTAAGCTACTCTATACTTTTATTAGAGATATATCTTATCGTCTCAAACTTACTTGAACAATGCAGCAAGACATGTTACACGAGGATACATCATATTATACAGTGCTGATAGAGGAATAATGTACCATCATCAAGGGATATAGATATACTGTAACCACGCGATTATCCGGGATTCGAACATCCGGAAAACGCCCTTGTATGGCCAAAACCGTGACTGAATAAAGTTCTCAATATCCGGCTAAAATGGTCATGGGAGCAGAATAAAAGCTGGTTTAGCCGGATAAAAAATCGGAGCCGGTTAATTTGCTGCCGATGTTACACTATCCGGACAGTCAGCCGGATAATCATTGAATTGTCTGGATATGAAAGCCATGGGGCAGGCCGTACCGTATTAATCCCGTTTGCCTGTGGTGCGAGACGCATGGTGGAGGGGGTGGGGTGGGTGGTGGAGGGAGGGTGGGAGGGGAGCATCTGGAGGGACCACCTGGGTACAGGAATTACCATTAATTTTAGAACAAATCATCATAGCCAAAAACAAATGAAATAAGTACTAGTAAATATATAATATACAAGTTTCCTAAAAACAATGTGCACAGGCTGAAGTTTCCTTAAAAAATATTGAGTTTTTTCCCTCCTGGCAGCCTACGTAACGTGCTATAGCTGCCCCTAATGGACCCGTCCAACACTGGTCAACCCATGTGCTCCCGTCCCTCGTGTTATACCACAGTGCTGTGCCATTAGTGAAATATTTTTTTAAATAACTTATTTTCATAGTAACTGAACATTTTTTTGACATTTTCTGCTGTCTGGTAGCAGCATCAATCGTTCTGGAGGTGTTAAGAGGAAGAAGGTTGTCCTAGCAATTAAAGACAAGTTACGTGTTATACACCTCAACCAGTGAGGCGTCACAGGCAAGCAAGCGCCTTCAACAAGCGAGGCCTCACAGGCAACCCAAATGCCTTCAACCAGTGAGGCTTCAGCAGCTGGCAGTCAAAACTAACTTGTCCTTAATGAACTGTACAGTAATTTTAAGTTTTAATTTTAGTTTTGTGTTAATATAGGTTACGTAAATTGTTAAGAATTCTTAACTTCAAGATGTGTGGCATCAATCAAGAAGACGAACACCAACAAGGTAAGTTGAGGTTTCTAGATGAATATTTAATAATTATATGTGGCAAGGCAATTCAAATCATGTTGTTTGTAGTATAAAAATAGTTGGAAATGGTCACTTTTGGACTCGTAGGTGAAAAAGTACCATTATCCGGAACACGTGATAATCCGGCTGGGGGTCCTTCCCATATAGTCCGGATGATCGAGTGGAGACAGTATTAGGGCAGTTTAGATTATGTAACACCAAGCCTTTCCTAGATCAATCCACCAATCAATTTATACTAAGGTTTCCATTACTGTTCGATGCAGAGGGGAAAACCCAGTAAAGCTTCCCAATTGAACATCTCTGTCTAAGATTTGAACTCTCACAAGTGAAGGATCCTAACAAAACACTACAGGTATTTGCAATATTTAAGTGTTGCAAGTTTCAAGTTATTACAATTAGGCTTTCTCAATATTAAAAAGCTACAATTGGATTACTGATAAATTTCAACAAGATCATACAGTATAAGTAGTTTCAAGCCAATACAGTAACATTTTCTGAAGGCACTAAAAATATTCAAATAAAATAATAAAGGTATCCCCTACTTGGAATGCCAAATCAAATGGAATGGCCAAAAACCAATTCTGGACACATTAGGTTTATGCCTCTCACTTCTAGCATACCAAATACAAATATTGAAACTATTTTGTAAAATTTGCTCATAAAATAACTAGACATTACTGCCCAAAAATCAATTACATTATAAAAAATACCCCTCCACCACCTCACCTTGTGCTGCCATCTCCAAAAGGCACGCGAGACTGCACTAGGTATTCCACCAATGCGGCGACGAGCCAACCAACCACCAACCTCACCAAGCTTCACCTGGCCAAAGGGTGTATCCGCTGAAAGATTAGAATAATTCAGAATGCTATGAAATGTGAAATTATTTACTGAAACGTTTAACTGTTGAATTATGGAATATTACTGGATAACACAAGATGTTGGATCACTTGTTTCAGGCATAGATTACAGTAATGTATAGTATATTACAGGGTTCCAGTAATACAGTCGAGTCTGTTCTTGACTTGCAATCTGGAATTACGGGTTCGAATCCCAGGTGGAACAGAAATGTTTGTATGCATTTCCTATCTAATGTCCCCGTTCACCTAGCAGTAAATAGTAGGTTTTCTTATGGGGTTGCATCCTGGGGAGGGTGGGGACCGCGATATAAATGTAACATGTATGTACACACTGACTGGTATAAATCTACATTTTTTTATGATTGCTACACCTTGAAGGTAACCCTTAAACTGCTCCCATTACCCCTCAGGCAATGCCATCCTTGAAATAATTCCTGAGCTTTATTTTTCTTCCTGGGCCTTAGTAAAATGATGGGCACCATGTCAAGTTCATCATTAATTTAATTTACTGATGACCATGTTAGAAGCCAATGTCATGGAAAACTGCTAGGACTGGTGGACCTAGAAGATATTAATGAGAAATCATTACATATAGTTTACTTGAAAATTATCCCTCGGAATATCTATTTCTTCACCACACTAAATGAGTCCAATTTGTTTGTATTTTCTCCAACATTGGAGAGCAATGTTCCAAGACACTTATGCACACCTGAAAAGTGACCTAATTTAAGGTGCAAAACTTGGGGGTTGATAAACAAAACTTCTCAATTAAAAGAAACCTATAAATTCATAAAAATTCAAATACTGTACTATGCATCTTCCACATCCCAAAGCAATGTCTTATGCACACAACCTCTCTATGGATAAATCAATTTTATTACCAATATTTGCAAAATTTGAATGTGACATTCTATGACATATGTGGAACAGGTTTAAATTTTGCAGAAGCCTTTAAACTAAATTTTTAAAATATGTTCCAAATGTACATTACCAGTAATTAATAAAAATGTACTAACCTTGGAGTACTGTATATTATTATTACTTACATTGTCCTATAAAAGGTATTACATTAAGGGGTCTCTGAAGTACAGTTGGGTTCATTCTCGACTCACAATCGAGAATTCTGGATGGGACAAATAGTTGGGGACGTTTCCTGTCACCTAATGCCCCTATCCACCTAGCAGTAACCCCTAGGTACCTAGGAGTTAGTCAGCTTCTTGTGGAGTTGACTCCTAGAGCAGGTCAGTAATTAAACCCTGGGGGTTGAATTTGTAACGACCACAATATAAGCCTAACAGTGTGCATAACCTGGTTTCCTGTCAAGACAATTATTTAAAAACTTGCAAAAAAAAATCCTATTTATTTTAAGATGTGATTGGCTATCAATTGCTTTATAGACTCCACAGACTACATGAAAAACCCATTAAAAATCATTCTATTGTTGCAGCTTGCAATGTGGTCAGGCTTCCCTTGTGCCAATTATCAAAAGGCACCAAGCTGGGGAGACAATGTAGCATTGTCAATAGAACCTATTAGCAAGCCAAGTGCTGCATCTTCATAAACCCACACAGCTCATTAGACAACTTCTATAACTATTCCAGACATTCATTAGGGTTAGACTTGGTTGTGTTTACTAAACCACAGGCAGCCCACTTGTCAACGTTTTTCCTTTATCTCATATTCCAAACCAGACAATAGTCAACACAACATATAAGCCTGGGATTACCGCCTCACCTCCAGTATAATCAACTTTCCAATGCGACCTAACAACATTGTATTCCTTGCACGGCCGACAGACAGTTTTTTCCAATTACAGGAAAATGTATAAAATAAACCGGTTCACTAGAACCAAAAAATGTCGAGGAAATAAATGTGAGTGAAGCAGCAATCGGCTCAAATAAGGTTAGAGAAGAGTTGGTAGGTCAGCAGCCGGGAGCCGGTCCTGTACTGGACGGCACTCACCACTACACAAATACAACCTCTTCAAACTACATTTTTTGTCCAAGCACGGCAAACCAAGTGCGTAACCGTATTGTAATTTAGCTTCAAAGAACAAAAAGGTGGACTTGGTATAAAGCGAGAGTGATGGCAGTTGACCTCATCATCAGCTGATCGAGCCTGGCAGACGACGCCCCACCACCACCTCGCCTCACATCACTACCTCCCTCACACGTCATCACAGCCATCGGCCGGCCCTTCTTACGTTTGCCATAAAACCTGGCCGGGTCGTAGGGCCCGTGGACCTTGGGGTTGTATTCAACAGGATAGTCTGCGAGTCCCATGTCTGCGACCGGCCTCAACACTGACCAGGAGAGACCGCCGGAATGGCCCACTTGCTCTCCCCGGGTATCACTCCGCCGCTCCCGACCCACAAACACCTTCCTTCAAACATCCCTTAACGTTCACTTCTTTCTCATCACACAGCTTCCATTGTGACAGTCCCAAATATAATTGTATTTTATATATTATTAATTATATACTGTAAATTAACATTTGGATTTAATACAAAAACTTTTGAACTACTTTGTACATCCAGGTGAGATTATGAAAAGCTCGGAAAACAAAATCCTTTAATTATATTTACATGTTTACCTGGTGTTTATGCTAACAATGTGATAATATTTTTTTCACACGTTAATGAATTTATTCTAACTGTCGCAAATTTAAGTCAAATTAAATTAGCATAAAGAGTATGAACAATTCCGCCTTGTTGAAGATATATATAGTGCTGTTATATTATGTCCATTCATTTAGATTTTACTAATATTTAAAACCAGTTATCTTCGTACGCAATATAGGTGGACACATTAAACAGAAAAAAGTGATTTTGGGGGAGAAAACTCTTAAGAGTTTTCATGGAATTAAAAAACTTTAAACGCCCCGCCGGTGGTCCGTTCCGCGTCCCGAGTCCAACAAAATCGCATCGAACGCGCAGCAGGGGGAGCATTGTTGGCTGCTTTGTTTTTGACGGAATATATTAAAATGCCCTTTGTTACGTTTGATTTACGCTAATATTATCGAAAGAGGCAGTGGCGTTGTTAAGGTAAGTCCCAGACCCGGTCTGATCCTTCGGTGCATGCTTTGAACCCGACTTAAAAGAGAAAATGGAAGTTGTTATGAGGGGCTGGGGGTTTGCGGGGTTCTGGGCGCCCATTTGGGAGGGTCGAGAGTGGGGGTTTTTGTTTTGTCGCGGGAGAACGAGAAACTGGAGGCTCCTACCCGCCCCTCACCACCCCTACCCCAGCCCCTCACCATGATCACCTCCCTAGATTATACCGTAGGCAGCAGATAGAGGCCAGCTGAGGGGATATTAGCCGGGGTGCGCGGATGTAGCTGCAGTTACGCAGCAACTAGAGAGAGACATGGCGACTTGTCGGCGAGCGTGGCGCCAACCCGCTAAATCCCCCCACATGTTGCCTTTATCTGACTCCCAACACCTCTCCTGAAGCACTCTCTCCTCGCACGCCCCACTTGGCTCTACACAGCCTCGCTGCTGACACACCAGCACCCTGGCTCTGCTCGCGGGAATAACGCTATCAGTACAAGCTCATAACAATATTATTACAATCATCCCTCCAGATTTCACAATTGGCAATGAGGTCCTTGCTTGTATGTTTTTGCAATATTTAGATATGGAAGTTTATGGACATTGAATTTTAAGCAATACATAGTTCCTAGATTATCTCCAAGTACAAATTAAATTTTGTTATGTTAAGTGCTGGGTGATGGAAAACTGGCGTCTGTGAATGTGACATTATTTTGTGCAAGTGTGGCTGTGAAATAGTGGTGCTTTACAAAGAGGTTGTTGGGAGACATGATAAAAGACTTAGTACCTGAGACAAGTGAAGTATATAGTGGTCGCCTTAGTGTGGGAAACTCGCAGCAACGTTGAATAAGGTAGCTTTGGTGTTCTTGTGTCTGTAGCTTGTCTAGTGGTCAGCTATTTATTCTGGCAGGTTAGTATTCTTGAAGAATACAATTCACTTATTTTAATGATAGAATATCAGTGATATTAAATTTTGTTGTCATTTAACAATTTTTGCCCTATGATTCATTTTGTTATTTAGTCCAAAGAATAGGTACAAATAAGTTTCTAGTGGATTTAATAAGTTTTTTACAAATTTTAATGTTGATTTCAATATTTTACTGAAATGTACTTAAACTAACATTGGATATAGCCAGTGATAGGCAGTGGATATAGGCAATGATATATCTATATCATTAAAAGAGGACATTTGTCCAATGTTGGAGGCCAGATGCTTAGGGGCTTGCATTGTTAAACTTTGCAGATACATTGGTGATTGTATGGGTAGTGTCATAGGGGGTCAGGATTGGCCCCATTCCCCCCTTGAAGAGACGTCTACTCCAATATCCTTTTCACGAAGTTACTGGATATGACATGCACTGCCCTGAGTCTACAGTTTAGCATTCATTTAAATACAGTATCAGTGTATTAAGATATTGATATGCAAAACATATATTCAGATGACAGATTTGCTTTCTAGGTGGAACCTTTTTATTACGGTGATGGAAATAGTGAGGTGAAAATGGTTAGTGATTGTGGAGATGGGGGGGGAGGTCATGTATGGGGTAGGAGATCGAGGGTGTGTGTGTGGGTGGGGGGGGGAGAGACAGGAGGGTGGGGGTGGGTGTGTCTGGGGGTTGGGGGAGGAATGGTGTGTAGGGCAGTGCTCCCCAACTTTTTATATCTCGATACCCCTTTTCCAACCATGTTCTTAACTGTGGACTCCTACAACAAAAGTGGATCGAGCTACCAAAATTAATAGTATCCATTGCTGTGACATATGTTGACAAATTTCAGTGTCCACGGGACAAATGATATGCAGTGTATGTACTCTTAACAAAATATAAAATCACTTATGAGTGTATTAAATGTTTTATTATAATTTAAATGTAGTTAAGTCAAAATTGCACATAAATACAAATATGGGACATGAATAATTTTATAATGCCATTATTCATGTCACAAGACATTATTATTCTCAGCTAAAATGACATGCAAGTGGAAATAGGAAACATTCACTTCAATATCCTGATAAGTGTTCATTTTGTGTTGAGTACAATATGATGACCAGTACATATATGCTGTATATCCCATGAACCCCTTGAAATTCTTTAATGGACCCCCAGTTGGGAAGCACTGGTGGAGGGAAAGATGTGTTGGGTGTGATGATTACAGTGATGAAGGTGTATATTGAAGATACAGTGGTGGGGGGAGGTGTGGAGACCTTAGAGCCATAGGCTACCCCCATTTAGTAAATTGTATTATACTGTCTTACACTCTGTTGTCATTTTTTGTTGTTGGTTTTACAGTAGTAGTGACTTAAAAAATACTCTTGCCTTACAAATTGAATGTTCACATACTGTGTTTATTAACTGTTTACCAAATATATTACATGTATTTTATAGTAATCTTTTGGTTCATTAAAACGTATACACTGAAATTTTGATTTGGCTCCATGTACTGTACTATTATAGCCCATGTTTAATCCAAATTGAATAATTAGTCAGATCAGGGTGTAAATCAGCTAACAGTAGCTAAATATGCATTAAGTAACTTCAGATAAAACTAAATTCAGTAAGTGAATGTGTAATGCTCCATTGACACTGACTCAACAAATTAGCCAAATTAAATATACATCACTGTAAATTGTTAGCATATCAGCTGTTGATAATGCAAGTAGAATCTGCAGAAATAAATATATTTTCCAATGAGATGCTGACATGTCATATTTACAAGATGTTTGTGTATGTTGTAGTTATGTGTATTCATATTTTACTGCACTGCATACTAAATTAAAGTGAGATGTTTACAGATTATTAAATAGATGCTTAAATGAAAACACATGACTGTGTATTTCAGGAGGTAAATAATGCACATTATGGAAGCCAACAAGCTGTGGTATCAGTTATGTATCTTGTCAATAGAAACTAATTTACCATATACCTGAGAATTTAATTTTCTTACCCTTTTTATACAGAGTTCTTCAAAACCGAAAAAATATACAGTATAGAATTCTCATAGACAAAAATAGAGTATTAAATGAAGGTAAAAAATTGGCCCGTTCCCTCGAGTTGTCACAACATAACAAAGAGGTAATAAATTACCTGAACCCTAACCTATCCAACAGACCCACGCACAGAAAATGTGATTGTGAGCCGCTATGAATTATAGTACAGTCCAGTACTGTACTTCATATTTTGTCTGTTAGGGATTTTGATGTCAAAATGTGATGTATTTTTCAAGAGAACCGGTTGAAAAGGTAATTGTTCTTGATGTACATAATATTGGTGGAAGCGACAACTTTCCTGTAGTATTGACATGCAGACGTGACAGTACTACCTGTATAGTCATACATTATTCAAGTTTCTGGTTGCTTAATTATTTATCTTATAAAAAGGAAATAATTTTTGGAGTACAGTACTGTATTAGCATGTATTGTACAACACTTTAAATTACTGTACTGTGCATTAGCAACCTCTGATGGGCATGTAGATACCTTGTGATATAACTTAATTCCTTACTGTTGGGTGATAAAGAAAACATTTTTGTTTTCCTGTTGAAAGGTTTGGTGACCATGCCTGGGTTGGTCACAATTAGTTACTATATTTTTCTTTTATCATTGCACAGCATGAAATTGCATTGGAATATTTTTTGTTTCTGATAGCTATGTGACACAGGCTAGTAGTACAGTGTATTAAATGGATCCAAATAAAAAATTAATATGTACATTTACAGTGTATATATTTTTTCAAACAACTTTTTAAAATTACATTTTTTAGAGCACCATTTTATTTAGACAACAACAACAAAATGTATGACAAATTTTATGGAATGAAGTATAATTCACCACAATTGTCAGGACAATCGTCAAAGGCATACTTGATGGTCCAGACACAGACCCCTGGCCATTATATTTGATGATTACCATTTTGCCATTACAGGGTATAGAAGAAGTGCCATTCAGCAGTAGATACTATAATTTGGGAAGATTCAAAAATTGTTACTTTACTTATAGTCATGCAAAATTTACAGTTGCTGAAACAGTTCTGGAATTGATGGTTTACCAAGTCTGGCTATAACTTACGTTTGTTTGAAGGCAATGTTGTAAAAATGAATTTATTAAGGTTTATAAATCTATAAAGATGGTTAGTCTACCTTGCACTGTTCATCCCCAGAGAAACTTGAAAAGATGCATTTTTAATTGATTCATTAATTGTCTAAAAAGTATGCATTTACATACTGTATATAAAGTTGTCATTTAATTACTGTATGCAGCATATGATGACAAAGGTTAGACAAAGTTGAGTGTAGATTCAATCAATTTATGGAAAAGAAAAAAAGTGCAAATTGTTGTGGGTAATTTTTTCAGCAGATGAGATTTGCTGCTCCCTGATATATACAATACTGTGTGTATATATCCAAACATTGGCTTTTAAGCATGACTTTTAAGCATTATCTTGAAATTTTCTTAATTTTATAGTAGAAAATGTAGGAGAGGGATTACTCAAGATAAAAATTAGTTGTGTATATATTCTTTTTACAACTGCATTCATGCTCTTGTGAGTTGAAAATAAACTAACTCATTACTATACAGTACCAGTCTGGTGGCAAGTTCTTGTGCCTCATAATCTTTATTGCAACAGTGGAATGTCCCTTGTTTCTAGTGGTTGTCATCTTGGAATTAGAGAGACGTTTGTATGTATTGTTGTAAACGGTTCTCCTTGAACTTTTGTTTTGGGGGTGTATAATACGATTGAGCAATATTTAATGCTGGTGTAAGTTTGGGATTTACTTGACGTGGGTGATAAGATACAAGTGTTGTATTTGTTTGAAGATGCCATCTGCATCTTGTTCTGAAAGACTAGTAGAAGTGCTTGGCCTATACAGTAATTTTTAAACCTAGGATGGTGGCATATCTGTGGCTGAATCTTTTTTTTATATATATACATATATAAATATGTAGGTATCATTGAGAGTTATAATGGGTATGCCTGACCTGCACCAAAAGTTTACAGCAATTTCCATTTTGTACTTTGAGTTATACTCATTTTTTCATTAGATTGTGTCACATTCAGCAGCACCTGAGTATCTTCACCTTTGGTTGATATTATCTGCTTGTGGGTTGTTTAAGAGCTGTGACTTACTTGTATACTAAATGTTTATTGGGTATTGTGCTAATTCTTTAAATTTTGTGCAGGTGGGATAGCCTACACTGGTGAATGAGCACTAGTTTGGGTTTTAACAAGGTTGAAGATGGTTGAGGTGCTGTTGGTGCATGTTTAATGGAGCATATATTTTTGTTTTCAGCCAGCATGCATGCCCAGCATAAACAATCACATGATTCTTTTCCACCTATACTCCCAGGAATTTGTTTTAATCCTAGTGTTTTGTTATCAGCTATTTCTCACAGTAAAGTTCAATTATTGATTGGAGGTTTCATGACTAACATGGGGGTTAAGTAACCTAAGTGTTTATCTATTAATTATGCTTTTGGACACAGGATAACAAGTAAAGACCACAGTCTGTCATAAATTTATGGACAAGATTTGTCCTTGTATTACTGCAGAATCCAAA